GTAACGAGCGACTAGCAGAGAAAGCGAGACAGCGAGATAGAGCGGCCCGAGGAGCGGCAGTCCTTTACCCGCATGTGTTTACGATTTACTGGTAGAGCGAAAAGGACGGGCGCTGCCTCTCGCTGCCTCGCTCGCTCTCGCGGCCGACTCGATGCCGGTAGGTGGGGGTAAAAGTGGTGGGGCTGGATTCCGTGTTGCCGGGGAGCCAAATGTGCATCACTGTCCTCGACCACTTTCGCGATCGAGATTATATATCTTCTCGCTACCCCCTCCATGTTGCTCGCACCACTTCGTTCTCTTTGCGCGCTGTCAGCGCTCACGACGTTAGCCTTATCTTACTAGCTACGCCGCTCAATTCCTTTCCTGCATTTTATAATTATGTGCTTTTTTAATCTATGATTTTTTTTATTTTCAGGTACCGCGTTACAATGGAAGAATGCTGCCGTTTGGATTCTCCCGCTGGAGTCACAGGTAAGTATTAACGCAAATTTTATTTACAGGTTACTAAATTATCCAGGCTGCACCCCCTCTATATACAATATTTACAGTGATATGTTTGCTTACAATGATAACTATCGGTCATTCCGGTATCGTAACAATAATTCATGTACATTCGGTATTCGGAGCAATCCCTAATTCGCCTAGCATGTCCCTTTGGTGCTCGGCATGCAAATGACGATGGGTTTTCTCGTTATTCCCGTTTTAGGTAATCCGCAATAATTTTTTATGGTCACCCGGTATACGTAGTGGCCTTAAATTTTAACAGCACGTCTCGTTGGTGCTTACAATGAACATGACGATCGCTTTTTTCCATCCGTTAACTTTAAGTATTCCGCAACAATTTTTCATGGTCACCCGGTATACGTGGTGGCCTCAAATTTTAATAGCACGTCTCATTTGTGCTTACAATGAACTTAACGATTTGTTTTTTCTCTATTCTGACTTTAAGTGTGTCGCGACAGTTTTTTATAGTCACCCGGTGTACGTGGTGACCTCAAATATTAACAACACGTCTCTTTGATGCTTATAATGAACTTAATGATCGGGTTTTTCTATATCTTAATGCAAAGTGTTTCGCGACAATTTTTCATGGTCACCCGGTATACGTGGTGATCATTTTAACACGTGTGTTTTCGCGGTTTCGGTGCCTTAAAGGCTTTAACGATTGGTTACTAGGATTGTTTAATTCCCCGCCGACAAATCCTATCTTTTTTCCGAAACCATTGAGGCCGATGCCCCAATGTACAACTAATAAGAGAAAACAACTTATCTTTGATAATGGTCTCTCGGACCCTAATACTATATCCCCATTATGTGGGCGCTAGACCACCTACCATATTCTATCTTAAACGCTAACTTGTTTTTCTTTTCTTTTCTTTTGACATTTTTCTCTTTAGTAATCATAATGATAATAATAATAATGTTGATAAGATTAATAATAGTAATTATATTGGTAATGATCTTGATAATAATAATAATACTTATATGGTTATGAATAATAATAATAGTAATCATGGAAATACCGATCATGTTCGTAACTTTATTATCATAATAATAATAATATTCTCTTTCACGCTTATCTTTCTACGTACATCAAAATAAATTCATTGAACTTCACGTACCGCCCGCGCCGGATCCGCACTACGCCTACACCCCTCGTGGCTGTCCTGGTCGATGCCTGGCGCGGCTGCTTTCGGACATGAATCCGGGGACTTGACGCCGGTTTCAATATCACATGCAATTCAAAATTTTTTTATATTTTAGTTGTTATGCACCCTCTAAAATGGACTTTGGTAGCTCGGGATAAGAGAGACTTGTAGTGTCTTTTTTTTAACATGGCCGGGGCCACTACCGCTTCTTCTGATAATATATATAATTATATGTATATATTATAATATTGATAATATTAATATTATAATATTAATAATATTAT